TGATACAAATAAAACAAACATGTACATAGAGAGCATGAAATAATAGACAAAGAGCACATAACAAAATATTTTCAGGATTAGTTTTGCGGAAAAGATTCGATTTAAATCGTCGATTTTTTCTTCTTCTTCATTGCGATCCTCGGGCGTGCACACGTGCATCCAAACCACGGCGGTAAGCAGAGCGAGAACGCCCTGACGTTCTCATTCTTTCAGTGACTATAATGTGTATGGCGGGGCCGTACTTTCTTCGGCACTCGAGAAGAGCTCGCGTGCATCTTTGATCAGCGCTCGAGGGGTGCGCCGGTTTCAGTGGGAAGAAGACTTGGCAGCAAGAAAGAAAACATTTTCTCATTGAACTGAGTGCCGCAGGCGCCCACGACAGATCGATTCTTGATTCGACGATTATTAGGCTTAGGTGGACATTAATGAATAAAATACTTTTTTTTTTTTAAGTAGCGAGGAAGCAAGACCTTGAGGAGCACAACGCACGATACTCACGTAGTGACCGCGTCGCCGTGAAAGCTCGTCCCCCCTGCGTGGAGGGAGCCTACCCGATTCTGCAGGCGTTTTCAATAAAGTTTTTCTCTCTCTCTTTATTTAGGTAACGTCGTATTTCCGAGATTTAGCATTCCCTCCCCAACGCTAACGTAACATTTTCGCGGAGGTTTTAGCTTTCTGCGACGTGTAGTTTGGTCACTGGGGCCGAAAAACCGGGTTTTGTTTTGTCTCACGGACCCCGTATAAGAACGGGAGGGGGGCGTGGGAAGTAGCGAGCATTTTATTATCGTACCGTACCGGATTGCGCGAACCAATCGCGAAGCATGATCCTAATAGGCGACGGCCGGGCCACAAGTTTCCTTTTGTAAAAACTAAATTCTTTTTTTTTTTTTGGGGGGGGGGGGGTGGAGGGAGAGTGAGCGTTTTTTTTATATTTGAAGTAATTTGTTGCGTGGAAGTTCGGATACCGGGAAGTTTGTCCGCCTTAAGGAGTGTCTAATTCACGTCTCCGATGTAGATAACAAATGTAAACGGTGGAGTACACGGCCTCTAACGTGTGTCACGCTGTAGTTATTTGTTGCTTAGGCTGTGGGCTTTTCTGTTTTAGCCGGAGAGGAAAATACCGATAAAAATCCGTCCGTGTTAAAGTGACAAAATCGGTGACAGTCGGGTGCCTCAATGTTCTTCGGCTAGCCTCTCCAGGACACTTTTGTGGACCCGGCTGAGCTAGTTCTTGGCAGGCCCTCGCCGGAACTTCCGACGAGCTACTTCCCCCGTTACAGAGGGGTCACCATTAAATCCAATCCAATCCGACCCAATCTTTAGTTTCGAGGGGATGCTACTCTTCTGTAGTACCCGATGCCGACCGCGCGCTCTCACAAAAAAAAAAAAAAAAAGACAGCGAGGAAATGGGAAATAAATGGAAACAAAATTGTCGCCGTACTCCCAATTAGTGCCAAGAGCTAGTACCGGGAAATGCCTTTTCACGTGCACCAGAAAAAAAAAAAAAAAAGAGAAAACATAGCGTCTTGCGTTATCGTTTAAAGGGGCACTGACTCGTCCAATCCATATTTTTTTTTCTTTTTTTATTATCCGGAGCGATTGGAAACGATGCCTGGACGTTACCCTCAAAATTCAAAACATGAAAATTCAGTTTTTGAAAAAAAAAAAAAAAAATATATATATATATATATATATATAAATGCCGAATTTGAAGTTCCCGCGCGGTTTGCACCAGTGCAGTGACGACAAATATTGAGCCGCCCTGCGAGTAGAGTTTCTCTGACGGCCTCCGTCCGAACCGCCGCCAGCCGAAGTGTCGTGTTCGCGGGCGTCGCGCGAACAGTCGGTTTCCCCCGGGTGTACCGCTGGTCGCTGTGAGCAGACCGCGCTTGACTTTCAAATTAAAAGTTTTTTTTTTTTTTTTTTTTTTTTTTTTGGGCCTTTTTAGCGATTTCTGATTCTTTGAAACGGTGTGAGGTCGAAGAGAGCGTGTACGCTCTGGGCTTTTGTGAGCGACGCGAGGGACCACGTCGTGCCGGTTCCGCGTGAAAGGCTGCCACGGCGGAGTCACAACCGAAACTACGATACACAAACACCAAACCCAGTTGTTTTGACCGTTTGACGATTTCCTTTTCTAAGTCTGAGAGGTCGCCGAGCACCTAAAAAAGAGCACTTCGGTCCTATTCCCCGACTCACCGATCATCCTCTGTTACATGCGTAGAGCGCTGCCATGCTTTCCAAAGGGAGGATAAGAAGCCAGTAGGCGACATCACACCGGACTCCGATTTTCGGTATTTCAAAAAGAAGGGCCGTAGTGCGCTTGCCATTGCGTTAAAAAAACCTTTTACGAATGTTGTTATCAAGTGTTATAGAAATGTCGCTTACAAAGCTTCTAAAATTCATAATACTTGACGTCACAAATAATAATAAAAAAGCGAGGAGGAGAGAAGCGAGAGAGAAGTGCGCCAAAAATAAAGCGCGCGCTCGCGTAAATTTCTTTTCGCGGTTTTTTTTTTTTTTTTTCGTGTCTATGATTACAATTTGCATCGTTAAAGAAACAACAAAAAAAGAAAAAAACTGATCTTTGGGGTCAGTGTTTTTTTAAGCAAAGCACACGCGTAGACACTCCGATCACAATTCATGTAGTCTTTGAGAGAGCACGAAGCCATCGCGAGCTTCCTGGCTTCGATAACGCTTCGGCGTTTCATTGCCTTCGAGAGTGCACGCGCAGTCATAAAGCACGGCGGAAGGCAGCGAGCGTGTGCTCCCTGGCCGGCCGTCCGAAAGAGGCGCCCTGCCGTTTTTCATCCTGCCAGTGACTGTAGTGCCAGTATATGCATTCGTGAAATAAGGAACATTGGAGGCCAACATCGTTGCACCGTCCCTTTACAATAAAAATAAATAAAAGGTTTTAGCAATGTTTTTTTTTTGTAAATATTTTTTTTTTGTTTCTTTTCCTATCCCCGTCCTATTGTTTTTTTTTTTTTTTTTTTGAACATCCGAGTTGTTTAGCATATGAAGTCAACAGATAGAATAGCATCAATCCGTCATGTCCGCGCGTCTCCCCTGAGAGGCTGGCTTCCCCTCTAGGAGACTCTTGTTGCGGTGAAGTGGATTTGCGGGAGGCGCTGATTCGAAGCTTTGAACTTTTTTTTTGTTTTTTTTTTGTTTCCACCTATCCGGGCAGAAAGTGAGGGAGAGGAGAGGACGTCAAAACTGCGAGCTCTGGTTGAATTGATTAGTTGGTAGACTCAAGGCTAGCGGCCCTTGTCTCCACTGCACTCGCCGAACGCGTTAAAACGCGGAACGCCGGCGTCCGGCTTTTTGCATTCGAACGCTTTCGACGAGTGCAAAGGGAAGAAAATGCAGCTAGCTAGCTTTCAGTCTACCCTCTAATCATTCGAACCAGAGCTCGCAGTTTTTACGTCCCCTCCACCCCCTCACTTCCTGCCCGCATAATATTCCTCCGCGTACACTATTTACCGCAATTAATTGCGGTTTCATAGCTGTTCACTTTTAATTGAACGCCAGAGCGATTTTCTCGTATTTATATTTACTTGCTTTTTTGACCCTTTGTTCGTGGTGCGCGCTAGCTAGTAAGACTAAATTTTTCGGTGAGACGCGGATGTAACCTATCGCTTCCCTATTTATAACTTGCCCCCGAGCGGTCATTTACCTGGCTCCGATGTCGATGAACTTTTTTAGGGGCAGGTGGACATCACCCCGCTTTCTTTTTTTTTTTTCTTTCCGTTTAAGCATACTATGAATTGCATCGGACGCTTCGAGCTTCTCGTAACCAATCTAACGCCATTGTAGCGTCACGTGACCTTGGAGAGGGGCGCAGTGACTCGCTGGGTGCGTCGTCACGTGGCCCGTTTCTCAGCGTTGGATTGGCTGGACTAGCTCGTAGCGTCCGCGAGTGCATCGGATGTTACTAATACGTCTACCCAACGCGGAAGTCAAGTTTGCGTTGGCCGACAGTGGATAGAATGCGTAGCGGCGGGGAAGGGGGGGGGGGGGGGATAGTGTCGCGTGGTCGACGTTGCTAGGGTGGAGGAAAATCGTGACGTGAGTTAGTTCGGGGACCGCTTTGTTTGGCTTTGGGGCGTTTATACAGGAAACGAAGTGAGCGCTTTTTTTTTTCTTTCCTTCGTCGGTTTCCCGCTATTGCGGATGTTTGCATCACGTGATCGCTTATCGATTCGTTCACTTGTTCCGAATGACTGCGGAGAACTCGCATTTGCGGTTTTGCCTGGACAAGTTCGATTCCGCGCAATTTTGCCCCCGTATTGTCACGAAAAAAAAAAAAAAGGTTAACCGATTTGTGTTTTATTGTAATGCTTAATTGGCTTCTCTCGGTATTTTCGCTGTCAACGTGTTCTGAAAAAAAAAATTTTTTTTTTGTTTCTCTTCGTGGGATTTAAGGTTGCTTCACTTATTTGTGATCGACTGCGGTTCAACCGTTAGTGAACTCTTTCGGCGAAATAAACCAAAGGCGCCGTCTGTTGGGTCGTTAAGGAACCCTTCCGATCTGCGCACATATTTCCCCATCCTTCTTTCACCGTGTGCTCGAAACAATTCTGACAATGTTACGAGCAACCGTTTATCTCATAGATAATGCGTAGACTTTATCTTGCAAATACTGCAAACCTTCCAGTCTAGCTTTACACATAGCTCGGAAGTGTTCCAAGGCTTCCCGGTAGTGTGCGGCAGTATGTTTCATTACAAGCGGTTTTAAGGCGATCGAATACACTCAAACGGAAACGTCTGAACCAGTCTTTAACTTTTCGTAAGCTCGCTACGACTTCTTTTTTTTTTTTTTTTCGAAGAAGAAGGGGTAGGGGATTTTGCGTTTTAGTTAGCGTCAGTTTCACTGGCTCTGAGCTCCACTAGCTGGTTGCAATTTTAATTTCCTCATATTCGAGCGACTATATCGGGCCATGTAATACCGTGACTAACATTTTTTTTCTCTGTTCTTTCTTTCTTTTCATTGCTCGCAGTTTGCCATTCTTTGGTGGACTGCGCTTCCCGCGACGAGGCGAGTTGGGAGGACGCTGTGATCGCGCTCAATCGGCGCGGCCTCCCTAGCGACGCGAGCGCCGCGTTTCGGCTGGCCGCTGGTCGTCTGCGCTCGAGGCTAGTGCTGCTCCGCTGGCTCCGCGCCCATTACGCCGAGCAGACGACGACGGACGCGGTGACGGCGCCAACGCCGCCGCCACCGCCACTCGCCGCTCGGTACGACGGCGACGAGGAAGCACGGGTGCCTTCTTCTTCCTCTCCCACAACACAGCCCCCCAAGTGAGTGTTCCTTCCCGATTTGTTTTCCCTCCTTTCCCTATTTCGAGTACTCCCCCGACTGAGAGCGTCCCTTCTGATCCCGGTCGTCTGCTTTCGGCCGTTGTGGATGATGGTATTGCGATGCTCCCGATTGGGAAAGGAGGAGGAGGTCCTCCTCTCCATCAGCGCAACTCGCAACCGTGCTTCTTTCTCCCCTGTTTTTTTTTTTTTTTACCCCCTTTTCCATTGGACTGGGTTTGTGGGTCTTACGTCGTCTGCTATCCTCCGCCGTGGTTGGTTTTTCCGGTTGTGTTTTTGAGTAGAGTCTCTCTTCTTCCCTTTTTGGGGGAGGCAATTGCTTTTTCTTCCCCCTTTTTTTATGTTGCTTTCTGTTTCTCTTTCTCGTTCCTCGGTTCTGTTCAGTGTCCCTCTTTTTGTTTTGTTTTTGTTTTTCTTACTCTGTCACTTTTGTTTTTCTTCCCCCCCCGATTGTAGGCGTATTTTTGGTGCTCTTTCCACCTCCTGTTTGTTTGATCATCCGCTATCGCTGCAGTTGTAAGTGTGCGGTCTTTCCTGTTTTTTTTTTTTTTTGTCAGGCTGGCGTGTTTTTTGTTTAATGCGGATTTGTGTGTTTAGAAGATGCTCGCGCGCTTTTGTGTATTTTAGAAGTAAAAACGCTTAGACTATATTGTGCGAGGCGTGTTCTGTCCAATGTAGGAGACACTTTTACGTAACCGATTTTGACAAAGGACGAGCCTTTTTTTTTATTTTTGATGTCTGCATCGTGTTTTTTGTCTCTCTAAAGAAAATATTTATTTCTTTTGACTCAATATCGAGACTGCCTTTCCTCGTAATCCATTTATAATCTTATACCCGAGTTTTTAATGTATTGGTGTATTGTTTTCCCCCAATGAAGTAGAGCCGATTGCAGGGCGGTGTTATCGCGCATTATTATCTTTGTTTGTTTAAGATGTTATCGTAGCGGGATCTTATAATCTCGAGCTTTTCGTTTTGCATCTTTTTGCTTCTTGAAGGAGGGTTTAAATCTGGAACGTTCTATAGAAACGATGGCTATATCCAAACGCTACATGGTGACTAAACTAGACGTGAAGTTATATCTTTCTGCGTGCGAACCTACGCCAGAGCTATAGGCACACGCGAATGCCTTCGAGTTGAGGAGGCGCATTTAGACGATAGAACAGAGCAAAGCGAATGTCGATACGGGCTCGCGTCAGCCATCCAAATGCGTTTGAACTGGACGGCCTCTGTGATTGCTTTGAGGGGAGGGGGGCGGGTCGGGTCGATTTGTAGCGCACAAATTCACTCGCTCATTTGTTACTGTACAAATAAATGTACGCGGAAACAAACGCGGATTAATTCATTTTAATCGGGGACATTCGCTTCAAGCCGAATCATGCGGGAAGATGATTATCTTCCTTACAGAAGACTTGTTTTGTTATTGAAACGTTTGTAAATGTTTTCCGCCTGTGTGTGCGAAGAAAATACTCGAGAACCTGAAAGCGGTAACCATCATCATCATCATCATCATCTTAATTTTTTAATTCGAAAGACGCCTAGCAAGAGCAGGCAGTTAATTCGGCAGACTAGAAAGCCCAGCACTTCCATAATAGAGCTTTGCGTTTACGAAGTAAACATATCCTTCCACGCAAAACTGTCCCCTCTACATCTACGGCGGGTACCAGATTAGTTGTCGGTACTATAAACCTGCGTTTCCTTCCTGCTTCGTGAATTATATCAATCCGAGTTGGGATGACACAATGAGAGGGGTTCTAACCATCCTGGACTTGTCAGGGAATTTCAAAGCATGCGCAAAACGTTAGGGATGTGTGGGGGAAATTGTCAAAGAGCTGCCTAAATCGGGGAACATGGGTGACGTGGGGCGGCGCAGTGACACGCAACGAAGCGGGAGGGTGTGACTTCCGGTGGCCTGGATGGCCCTCACACCGATCGAGTAATACAAAGTTGCCCGAGGCACCGCTAGGCGGCGGTAGCCACCGACAGACCCGCCGGATTAAGCGGGAACAGCCCGAACACCGGTTGCAACCCGATCCTTGACATTTTCTTCTTTCGTAAGGGTCGAGGAATTTGTATGAAATATCGAGGGAAAACCCGGAAAAGTCGGTGAATTTGAAAGAGGCAGTTTCGTAAGCAGCCTGAATGAATTTTTTGGGAAAGTCCCCGAGGCAGAGAAGCTTTTACGTAAGAGTAGATTGGCTTCCACCTGAAATGTAGCGTAGCTCGCGCCCTCTTGGTCGATTGGAAATAAATTGATATCCAGACCTCGCGATAAAATACTTTTGATACTCCCTTTGCTTACTGGAAATGGAAAGGTCCCGGGTTCGATACCCGGACCAGACGGATTTTTTTCGGTCGCGCACCAGTCTCCTAGCTGTGTTTGGAGATTTGTGTTTGTCCTTTGTCCCTCTTGTTCCCCTTCTCCAGGGGATTATTTTCGTCATAATATCTAAGTTTGTTTACTATGCTCTATCCAGCGAACAGCTATTTTTTTTTTCCAAGTAAAACATACGTTTTTTTTTTTACAGAATATAAATTGTTTAGGCTTATTCTACATGTTTTTAATATGTTACATGCGTGATTTACAGTGTGAATAATAAGCGCTGGAAAGGCGTGTATAGAGGGTGCACTCTCACAGGGTATATGGTCTTGTTCGCTGCGGACGGGACAGGTGTAACAGCAAAGTGTGTACGCACCTGCTGGCTTCCCTATTGGACAGCCCTGAACGTGTCGCTTTCGGAATAGCTACGAGCTTCGGCACCTACCCGGACCCCGCGGCGCGATCCGACGGTACACGAAACAGTTCCCTAAAGAGTATCGAAGAGAACCTGCACAAGCGGCGCGGACTTGAAGGGGCTGGGACGGAAGAATGTGAAACAGATAGATTAGATATTCAATGCTCATAGTCTATTAAGCACGCACACACACACACAGACTGAGTTTTGCGATTTTTAGAGCTCTAGTATTTAGAGCGATTATATTAATCTTCTAATGGCGATAATTTGCATGTGGGGACCGGGCAGCCCCGACGAAATTGTGAAGTGACGTTCTCAGAGTAGTCACATCACGATGACCCATGTGATCGCAGTGTTGGCGGTAATGCGTTACCAGTAACGGCGTTACGCTTATGACGTGGTATTTATTTCAGTAACTTAATACCGCACTCGTTGCTTCTCTTTTTTTTCTTTTTTCGGAACAGTAACGTATTACGCACTTATGTTACTTACTTCGAGTAGCGTACGTAAAGTATGGTTTGACGTGCAAACTTTTTATTCATAAAATAAATTGTAACGCAAAAATAACGCGCGTTACTTTTTATCGGTAGCGGTAACGCGTTCTTTTTATTTACAAGTAACGGGTAACTTATTTCGTAACTTGTCTTTTTTCTGTAACGCCTACAACACTGCGTGATGTAATAATCCGTTGAACTCTCTCTCTCTCTCTCTCTCTCTCTCTTGTTTTAGACTTACCCGTGCTCGCCAAGCCACACGCTGCGTGGCTACTCTCATTCACTCTTTTTTAAAAATTGTAACATATCGTGGAAAAAAAGAAAAAAAAAACATCGTGAAGGGGACAAGGGTAAGCTTAATTAGAACGCACGTAAATTATAAATGTTTTTTTTTTCTTATATTTTTGTATATATAGCTTTTATTTTATAAGCGTTCCAATTGAGCTTCCATTTGTGTCCCTTCGAAGCCCTGTTTGTGGAGTATATCCCACGGTTCGGCAACACAGAATTTCCCTCGCTTCATAGACCCTGCTTCTTGTTAGTCTGCCGATACGAAAGATATCGCGTCGACACCAGCGACGCCGTAGTCTCCGTCGGCTCGATTACGCGGGAGAGAGTCGAGCCCGCGAGTGCGTGCGAAAGGAACGGTCAGAGTTGCGCCGCACGCGCGCGCGAGGCTCTGGTTGATACGAGGGTCGTACCGAAAGTGATGAGCAATATTTTCTCTCGAAATTACTGCGCTGCATTACTGAAAACGAAAGTGCGACATTTAGTTTTGTAGACATTTGTTTATTTTTTTTTTCCGAATAGTTTTTATTTTACGTTTTTCGCTTCAGACGAAAGCCCGAGGGAACCAGATACTTCCTACACCATTTTGTAAATTTTCTTCACTGTTAAGCGAGCACATGTGAAGATGTGCATTATTGCTAACCGAAAAGCTTCGAATTATCTCTGGAACTGCACTGTGTTCTATATCAAGTATTCTCGCCTTTTCGTCTTAAGACGTAACCCAGCTGTCTTTTTTTGACTAATTTGTCGACAGTCTCCTCGTTGGCGTCGATTGCGGCTGTTCTGAGAAGTGCGACGACTCCGAGGCTGACGTTCGATGCTTGTCGGACCATCTTTAGAATGTCTCTCCCATCTTCTGGCTCTGCTCGCACTCATGCACGCATCTCTATATAAGCACTCTGAAGTTCCTAATAAATTCCTGCGTCGGTGTTTTTTTTTTTTTTTTTTTTTGCGATAAGTATTATGGTTGCGTTTTGAGCAAACGAGACTTCATGGGCGGCCATTTTGTTTCGTGTTCTGGTGGGGTAAATGACGCAGCCTGTCGATGTCTAATAGCCATCCATGATCGCACGAAATATATTGCCACGTGCTACCAAACGCTCATTCTTGTCATCTTCCAAACTCGCCTACAAAAAAAAAAAAATTGTTTGTTACTTTTGGTACGACTTTCTGGCACGATATACATCAACGGGCTCTTACACACATCAAACATGTCTGCCTTCGCATGAGAGAGACCGTCTGCGCATGCGCTGTACCGACAGCAGCGCCACCGCTGCGGCGTGATGTCAGAGACTACGTCACGAACCTTTCCAAACGTGTCTGCCTTCCCGAATGGGCGGGTCTGTGGGGGGGGGGGGGGGGGGGGGGGGGGGGTTCCAGATCTGTTTGATCGAATTCATCCCCGAAACTAACGCGCCGTTTACGAAACCAATTGAGCAAAGTTGCGGTAACGCCACTAACGGTTTCT